GGGCCCATCCATCCTGGCCATCTCTGGCGGAGCAGGGCTGCCACAAACAGTAACCCCTGCGTGGGCTGTTGAGTAGGTAGCAGGAGTTTTCCCACGGTCTCCCGCATCACTCACTACGCTACTTCATAAAACAATCTGGTAGGAAACTTTCCCTCTTTAGACCACCTTCCAGGCTGGGTGGGAAATCATCGACCCTCTCACCTGCCCGTCTCTGCAGAGGACACACGTGTCCTGCTAAGGCATCCTTTTATGTTTTAAGCAGCTTTGTAGCTTTGTGTGTGTGGGTTTTCTAGGATTGTGCTTTGCTTCATTTTCCCCGTGTGATTCATTAGTATTTCTCCTGTTGTAGAAGGTTATCATTAATAACCACATTAATAGTCAGAAAAGCATCTACATTCGGGGCAGCAGTTATTCTACAGGAAATTAGGTTAGTTGCTTTCATGTCTAACCTCATTTCCCTGGACTTTTAATTTTTTTCCCATTCTTGAACTTGCTTTATTGTTTTTATATGTTTATATATTGAAATACACACTCTCTGCAAAATCTTAAGAAAATCCTGAACAATGAAAAGAGGTTAGCAAAGACTGCCCATTATTCTGCTCCCTGGAGACAGCCTCCCTTCTCATTTGAATTTAGTCTTTCTGGCCCTCTTTAGGTGACTAGAAATACCACTGTCTGCATGTGGTCTACATGTGATCCAGCACTACGCCCTCTCCTTAGGATGCTCCCACCTCCCTTGCCCAGACGACTCAGCCAACACACTGGCATGGTCCAACTTTTAATTTTATGACCACAAACCACAGAGGGGCCCTGAGCACAGCTGAAGTAATGCAACCCCATTGCCCCAGTTGGTGGACTCCGCCACTCCTCAGAATCGCCAGTTTACGCCTTCTCATCTCTCGTCCAGCCTTTAACACCCTTTCCTTTCCTCGTGTTTGGATGATGACCCTGTTTCCTATTTCACTGAGAAAACAGAAGTAATAAAACGAGGACTATCTCGCCACCCAGCCATCAACTCTAACCCAGCAGCACCCTCCCCAGCTACCATCAGCACCCCCCACTCATACATTTCCCTCAGCTCCCTAGGGTTTATCTCAACTCCTTCAATCCCAGAGGTATAAAAGCTATTATACTCTCTCCCACCTTGAAAACACTTCGGGGCGTGTGTTTGGTCTAGCAGCTAAGATGCTTGCAGCCAGTGTTGGTGTGCCTGGGTTTGAATTCCAGTTCCACTCCCAATTATAGCTTTCTGTGGGACATGGCAGGTGATGGCTCAGATAGTTGCCTGCCGCTCACATGGGAGACCTGGATTGAATTTCTGGCCCCTGGCCTCACCCTGGCCCAGCCTCAGCTGTTGGAGGCATTTGGAAAGTAAACCAGTAGATGGGAATTGTCCCTTTCTCTCTGTCTCACACACACACACACACACACACACACACACACACAAATATTTCTTGTCCCATATCTCTCCCATCTATGACCACATTTCTTTGACTCTTTTTTATGGCATAATTTCTTAAGAGTTGCAGTTGACTTACCATTTCTAATCTGTATGGATTGTATTTTCTTGTTTTCTGTATTCTGGATGCACCAGCATTTGGGGCCTTGATCCTGGAGAGACTGTCTCTCCTAGGGCTAATTAATTCCTAGAGACAGCAAATAACGTCCCTTTGAGCATGCCTTTGATATATGAACCAACAAATCCAGAACCCATACCCCAAACCATCTCCTTTATCATACAAATTCCCACACACCAAGCTAATAAGCTCTCTGCCCCAGATGACCCCAGGGCCAGGAACCAGACAGCTAGGGACCAGTCCTAGAGCCCAGGACTAGCTGAAATTATTCAAATGATCCAGTCCTAGGCTCGGTCAGGGCACCTGCCCTGCCTTATCCATCCTTCCTGTGAAAACCCCACCGAAGTTTCTGGGTCCTGCTCTGCCCTCTCCCCTTTGCCTCGTGACTGGCCTGGAACCGCGTGGACTACAAGGTGTGCTGTGCCTCCTGTTTCTCGGGAACTGAGAATAAACTTCTTCCTTCACAACAGTCGTTTCTGTGTCTGCCTGTCTTGTCGTGCCTGATCAACACAAAGCTCAGGCACCAACTGTAGAACTCCTCTTTGCTGCAATCAGACCTTTGTCCCCACCAGTCCTCTGAAATGGATCCTAGGAGAATGCCTGCATCTTGCCACATTCAGTGGTTACTTCTTGGTCCTTATGTCACCTGAGTTCCTGTGGATTTAGTAGATTTTTCAGGATCTCCTTTCTCAGCTGTCAGACTCTGGGTCTCCACACTGGCTGCTCCTTCTCAGGCTCCGCTGCCTGTCTTTCTCCTCTGTGTGCTCCAGTGCCATCTGGGTTCCATCCTCAGGCATCTTCACATCCCTGTCTACTCTGAGGCTGTGGGCAATCTCTGAGAGCCAGACTGAGAGAGACAGAGAGAGAGAGAGAGAGAGAGAGAGAGATCCCCTCCCCTGGCTCACTCTCCAAATGCCTGCAATGGCTCAGGCTGGGCTGACCCAAGTACTTGAGCCGTCACTGCTGCCGCTCAAGGTGTGCATTAACAGGAAGCTGCGACTGAGACTGAAGCTGCGACCCAAATCCAGGCGCTCTGATGTGGGATGCGGGTGTCCAAGCAGTGTTGCAATTGCTAGGCCAAATGCATGTAAATACCCTGTATTTCCTGATGGCTCCCAAGTTTTCACTTTTTCCTTTCTTATTATTAATCCTGTTTTTGATGGACAAATCATAATTTATGGGTACAATGTGATGCTTTTATAGATGTGTACAATGTGCAGTGATTCAGTTGAGCTAATTAGCATATCCATCACCTCACTTACCTATCATTTCTTACAGTGAGACACTTGGAATTTACCTGTAGTTATTATGAAATATGCAATATATTATTACTGACTACAGCCATCCTGCTGGGCAACAGATCTCAAAAACCGAATCCTCCCATCTGTCTGACACTTTTCAGCTCATTTTTATTGAGCTATGATTCACATAACATAAAATTAACCATTAATCACTTTAAAGTGAGCAATTCACTAGGTAGAGGTAATGGTGGTACAACATTTTGAATTGAATGCTTTAAAATGATTAATGTTCCACACTAAATGTTAGTGTATTTGCTCTTATGCCACCGTTGTCTCTCTCTAGGGCCAAGACTTTGGCACTGCCCCAGAAGGAAACCCTACGCCCATTCCCTCCTATCCAAAGCCCCTGGCAAGCACCGGTCTGCTCGCTCTCTGGATTCACCGGTTCTGAAAATATCAGACCAGTGGTGATTCCCAGTGTCCTGTCTGCAGCTGGGACCTCCCCCCTGTGTTTCTGTTTCGACACCTGTACACAACCACCTGCCCACCACCTTCTCCTCGTCCTCTCATTGATAAAGTAAAAAAGTGACATGTGTCCCCAGATAAGCTTTTGAGTTATTCCTTGTGCTCCCTGGATTTTTCCCATCTCAGGAAATAACATCAGCATCCACCCAGGTCCACACAAACAAAACTAGGAATTGTAAGTTATTTTTCATCTTCTGCATCTGTTCATCTTCAGTTCCTTCTCTTTGTCCATTCTGTTCTTCCCAGCAGACTCACACAGCAAAGCCAGGAGCTCTGGTGATGGTGAGAGGGAGGGAGTGATGAGACAGGCAGCTGGGAGGTAGACCTTGTACCCAGGAGACTCTGCTGCAGATTATCCGAGGAAAGAAAAGCTACTACATGCAGGCAGTTTCCATGTCAGAAGCTGCCATGGCATAGTCATGAACTTGATGGAGAGGGACCGACCACTGTAGTGGGTTTGAGCTGGTCACTGCAGGCAGCCATGGAACAGCCCCTCATGCCACCCCCACAGCCCAGTAGGAGCAGGCTTGTCCTACTGCCAGCCGGGCAGCTGTGTCCTCTCCCATCACAAGTCCATGTTGGTGTCTGGCCAGACTGAGGTCCCTCCAATGGTGGTCTCTGCAATTGTCTCTAACTAAGTGGATGTGTTTTGGCTGTAGAATGGTCACTCCTCATTCTGTCTGTTTTAAATGTGTTGCTGGTAAGTAAAGATTGAAACCAGGCAACCTTTTCCTTATGGAGTTTCAAGTCAAATATTTTCCATTTTACTATTCTTCAGACCCTTTGTATGTCAGCACGCTAAGTAGAATGGAAGAAAAGGGTCCTACGTCATATTGCTGGCATTTTTCTGTGCTAGATGTTGGGCAAAGAACTGTTAGCAATTAAGCATTGATTCCTTGTCCAAGAGATTTTGGAACTGAAAGCTTGACACCATAGGATATTTTGTGTGATTAAAGAAATTTGTTTTAGATCTATGTGAGAGCCAGAGAGAGAGAAAGCTCTCTGGTTTCCAATACAAATACCCACAATGACAAGGACTGGGCTGGGCTAGTGACCAGAGCTAGGAACTCAATCCAGGTCTCCCACATGGGCGGCAGAAACCCGATCACCTCAACAATCATTGCTGCATTGGCAGGAGGTAGGATCAGGAGCTGGAGTCAGGCGTCAAACCCAGGCGCTCCAGTATGGGACGTGCGTGTCTGACCCACAAGGCTAAGTGCCTGCCCTGACCATGGTCCAGGAAGGGGGAAATGTATGTTACCAGCTGCTTCTCTGGCAGGTTAGTTGGGCACCCAGGAAATAAAAGATTTAAGGGCATGGAAATGCAGAGCGCCCAATAAGGGTGGAAGGACTCAGCATACAGCATTGTAAACACTTAAAAAGAATAGAAACTTATTTTTAAACTGAAGAGTTAGCAATATTGTAAGTAAATTGGGTTGATTTTTTTAAAACCTACAGTAGATTTTATTTAAAACTGAATATTTAACAGTTTATTGGGTAAGCCTAGAGGCTTGAAATTACACGTCTATGAATTTGGGCCTTGTGTCTTTGACACCTTGGATCCTGTTCTCCTTCCTCTGCTATTTTTTAACTGCAACAGATGAGGGGCTCTGAAACCATCTGTTAACCTTTCTTTCTCCTTTTTTTAACCATGTAGAGTTGCTCAAGGCAAGAAGACCCAGAGCCAGCAAGACTGAAACAAAAAGCAAAGGAGGTGAGCACGGGGAGAGATCATTGGGTTTGACATTTCAAGGCTTGAGCCTATTAATTTTTTATGCCCTGCTACTTGTATATCGTTAATAAAAATCTGACGAAAAACTTTTTAGGATGTATTTGTTGCTTTGGCTTTGATCTTAATGTTTGCAAACTAATACATTAATACATGTGAAGCCTTGAGGAGTTTTTCTAAGAGAATATTTCCATACATTATATTTTCATTTCCATTTTCGGTAGCTGAGCCTCTGTGGGGTTGTTGATGGAAGTGGCATTAGATTTTGGTGGGAAATGTATCTCTTCGTGTGCTTAAATGTTACTTCCTACGCGTATGAAACCGTGTCATCAATATTTTACCTAAATTCTCTTCTGCAACAACCCATGTCTAAGATGTGCTGTCATTCTAAATGCCTCGTTGTAAAAAGATATGGGAAACACTACTCAGTTATTTGCAATAGTAAAGCCAGCCCCAAATCGTACAGCATGGCTTGCTGTCTGGTTGTTAACGTTTCACATGGATTAGGCTATAGAGATCAGCTGAACTGAATGTCATTATCTTTGCTTCCTTTTAGGTGCTTGGTCCCTTGTTGTGGCATCTGTGATTGAGTTGTGTGAAACTCAGCAGTGGAACCTAGCGGGGTAAGCACTTGGCCTGGCTAGTAGGCTGCCACTCGGGATGCCTGCATCCCATTTCTTGCTGACACGCGCCCTGGGAAGCAGTGGGGATGACTCAAGTACTTGGGTTGCTGCCATCCACTTGGGAGACCAGGATGGAGTTCCTGGTTCCTGGCTTCAGTCTGGCCCAGTTACAGCTGTTGCAGGCATTTGGACAGTGAAGCAGCCAGTGGGAGATCTCTTTCTATTTCTGTCTCTCTCTCTAAAAAAGTCAAGCAAGTTAAAATATGTAATCTTCTTACTTAACATGTTATACTCATATAAATGCTCCCCAAATACAAGATGCAGTCAGAATGTGACAAAACATTCACAAAAGCCTCCTGGCAGCCTTTGAGATTTGAGCAATTTATTGTATTTGAAAAGCTACTTTGTAAAATAGGTAGATAGGAAATTTGAATGATGACTTATTAAGAATGGTCACTAACCTGATTCCGAACACTGGGTGGTGACACGTAGGTGGAGAGGCTGAGGGAATGGCTCAAAAGTGTCTGTGAAGCACTTTGGAAACTTGTGATTTATACTGAGGATAATTCCACCTTCAATCGTTTTCAAATGTTTATCCCTGTAAGTAACACTGAAATATCTATCATTTTCTGACTTATGAGTGGTTAATTATTCAGATAAATGTTAACTACCTGTTTCTTAGAGGAGAGGGTATGGACCAAAAGCATGCTGTTCAGGAAAGCAAAATCAATTCACTGCGGTGACCATTAAAATAACCACCCATCAGAGTGACTGTTACGGAGATTCTTCTATTATTGTTGTAAAAAGAGATGAAATTGTTATGAAAATGGTTATTTCTTAGATCCACTAGAGGGAGTCTTGCTGTACAGATGTGTATTTTTTAATGGAAAACATTTGTTTGTCATTGAGTTAGTAAATACATGTGTGGCAATAGTATTATCAAAATTCAACAGCTATGATAGTTTGTGTCCTGCTCTTTATTTATGAATGCTGCTGGGTGACAGAGGGAAGTGCCCTATTCTTTCATGCATTTGTCCTACTTCTTTCTCTCTCTTCTAATGTCATTCCTTAATTTTCTAATTCTGCCTACTGTCCTGGGGCAATTTTGATATGCAAATAAGCCTCAGCATTCAAAAATTGAAGCTTTTGAGATTCTGGCTTTCATTTTTTTTTTTTTTTTAAAGACTCTATGTTTGGTACAGGAGACCCAGGACAGGGAATAAACGATTGCAACTAGCTTTCTATTGCAGCTTCAGTAACAGGTCTTCTTCCAACTCAGAATCTGCCCCCATGCCTCCTGGGTCTCCCCAGATCAGTGCTCTGATTCTGGGGGCGCACTGAAGAAGGCAGAGAAGAAGCTTCACCTTTGGTGCTAAAGGATACCTTCCCAGACAGGAGATTTCTTCTTATTTCCGTCTCCCATGGAACAAGCGTAATAAGAAGCTTTGTAGTAGAATGTGTTTTATTTTTCAAATCTTAAAGTTGGATGCATTTTAAGAAATACCAAAAAGCGTAGCACTGTGCTCATCTTCCTCACCTCTCCTGCTACTTCTTAGAGTGATCACTTCAGTAAATAGAATTTTAATTGAGGAAAAATTTTAGATACAGCAAAATATCCTGACTGTAAGTCTTTGAACCAGCTGGTCTTAGTCAATTCGTGTTGCTGTGTAACTGCCACCACACTCAAGGTATAGGTCATTGTGTCAGCCCTGAAAATACCTTCATGCCCCTTATTGTCATTCTATACAGAAAAGCAAAATTAATTCAACATTTAATCCATTCAGTGATCCCTAATTAGCGTGACTGCTATGGAAATACCTTTTAACATTGTTCCAAAAAAGGTGAAATAGTTACAAATATGCTTATATTTTAGATCCCCTGGAGGGAGTAATGAAATCCAGTTGATCAGCTTTTTCTTCTATCTCTTGCTTGCAATGTCATTATCTAAGGAACCCAAGGTCACTAAGATTTACTCTCTTGTCTGAGAGTTTTACAGTTTTACTTTATACATTTAGGTGTATGATCCATTTTGAGTTAAAGCTTGTGTATGGTGTGAGGTAAGGGTTCCTAGGTATCTTTTTGCATGTGGCTATCCACTTGTCCCAGAACCATTTGCTGCAAAGACTTCTTTGAGGCCAGCATTATGGTACAGTGAGTTAAACCACCACTTGTGATGCTGGCATCCCATATGAACAAGAGTTCAAGTCCCAGCTGCTCCACTTCCCATCCAGCTCCCAGCTAATGTGCCTGGAAAAGCAGAAGAAGATGGCCCACATGCCTGGGCTCCTGCCACCCATGTGGGAGACCTAGAAATGGTTCTAGGTTCTATGTTCCTGCCTTTGGCCTGGCCCATTCCTGGCCATTGTGACCATTTGGGGACTGAACCAGCAGATGAAAGATATCTTCTCTCACATGCACTCTCTGTCTCTCACTCCATCTCTCTAACTCTTTCAAATAAACTAATTAAAGAAAAGTCTGTTTTTTTTTTTTTTTCTCATTGCACTGTCTTGGCTGTCTTGGTACTGTTGTAAAAACTCAGCTGACCAGGAAAGTAAAGGCTTTTTTCTGGATTTTGAATTATCTTCCATTGATGTAAATGTGTATCCGTATACCAATACCATCATGTCTTTATTAAAGGAGCTTTGTAGAAGAAAGTTTTGAAATCAGGGTGCATAAGTTCTCCAACTTTGTACTTCATTTTTCCAGATTCTTTTAGCTTTATGTCCTTTGTATTTCTATATGAATGTAAGATCAGTTTGTCAATTTCTGCTCAAAAAATGCACCAACTGGGATATTATTATTATTATTATTATTATTTTAGAGAGGGGCCAGTGCTGTGGCAAAGCAGGTAAAGCTGCTGCCTGCGGTGCTGGCATCCCACATGGGTGCCAATTCGAGTCTCAGGTGCTCCACTTCTGGTCCAGCTCTCCGCTATGGCCGGGGAAAGCAGTAGAAGATGACCCAAGTCCCTGCACCCATATGGGAGACCCGGAAGAAGCTCCTGGCTCCTGGCTTTAGATTGGCGCAGCTCTGGCCATTGAGGCCAGTTGGGGAGTGAACCAGCAGATGGAAGACTTCTCTCTCTGTCTCTACCTCTCTCTGTAGCTCTTTCAAATAAATAAAATAAATCTTTTTTTAAAAAAAGGAAGTTGAGCAGCAGTGACTCAAACCCTCATTCAGATGGAATACCATCATTGCAGGCAGCAAGCAGCTTAACTCGCTGTGCCGCAACGCTGGCCCCATTTGGTCCAATTTGAGTGTGTTTTTCTGATGGGATTCTAACTGATGCAAAGAGAACATAGATGATGACTACCTGCTGTATTGGGTCATGGAATCTTAGCTCTTTTCTTTTTAAGATTTATTTATTTCTTTGAAAGTCAGAGTTATAGAGAGAGAGAGAAGGAGAGATAGAAAGAGAGAGAGAGAGACAGATCTTCCATCTGCGGGTTCACTCCCCAGATGGCCACAATGGCCTGGGCTGAGACAGGCCAAAGCTAGGAGCCAGGAACTTCTTTTGGGTCTCCCACAATGGATGACAGGGACCCAAGCACTTGGGCCATCTTCCACTGCCTTTCTCAGGCCATTAGCAGGGAGCTGGATCAGATGTGGAGTAGCCGGGACATGAATTGGTGCACCTATGGGATACCAGCATTTCAGGCAGTGGCTTTACCTGCTATGCCAAAACACCAGCCCCAGAATCTTAGTTCTTAAAGCACATAATTTTACCATGCAGGCAAAGTATTTTTATCTTTTGCAATCTGTGTAAAAGTTATAAGTTCTAGGGCTGGTGTTGTAGTGCCTGGTTAACCTGCTGCCTGCAGTGCCAGCATCCCATATGGGAACTCTGGTTCGAGTCCCGGCTGTTCTACTTCTGATCCACCTCCCTGCTTATGCTCTTGGGAAGACAGTGGAAGATGGCCCAAGTGTCTGGGTCCCTTCCAGCCACAAGGGAGACCAGGATGGAGTTCCCAGGCAGTGACCCCACCCGCTATGCCACCACACCAGGCTCAATACATAAATATTTAAAAGATTAAGGTCTATTACTCTATTACCATTCTTCTCCTCTTCTTTTTAGAGGACTCATATTTTCCTATTATTTCACAGTAATTTTTGGTCGTACAAGAGTACTTCAGGGGCCGACACTGGCATAGTAGGCCAAGCTTCCATCTGAACCACCGGCATTCCACATGGATGCCGGTTTAAGTCTCCGTCACTCTTCTTCTGATCCAGCTCTCTGCTATAGCCTGGAAAAGCAGTAGAGGATGGCCCAAGTACTTGAGTTCCTGCACCCATGTAGGAGACCCGGAATAAGCTCCTGGGTCCTGGCTTCGGATCAACCCAGCTCCAGCCGTTGTAGTCATTTGGGGAGTGAACTAGTTGATGGAAGACCTTTCTCTGTCTCTCCGTCTCTCTGTCTGTAACTCCAGCTCTAAAATTAAATAAATAAAATCTTTAAAAAGAAACCCAGTACTTCAAAAAGTTCCAGGAGGGGCAGGCGTGGTGGTGTAGCAGGATGAGCTGCAGCTTGGGATACCTACGTCCCATGTTGAATTGTTGGCTTGAGACCTGGCTACTCTGCTTCTGTTCCAGTTCCCTGCTAATGTGCCTGGGAAGTAGCAGATGGTGGCTCCAGTACTTGATTCCCTGCCACTCACATAGGAGATCTGGATGGAGTTCCTGGCTCCTGGCTTTGACCTGTAATAGCTCTGGCTGTTGTGGCCATTTGAGGAATGAACCAGCAATGGAAGATCTCTCTCTCTCTCTCTCTCTCTCTCTCTCTCTCTCTCTCCCTCCCTCTCTCCCTCTCCCCCTTTCTCCCTCTCTCCCTCTCTCCCTCAGTCTCTCTGGTACTTTGACTTTCAAATAAATAAAATGTTTTAAAAGTTCCTGGAAATGGAATTAAAATATAGATTTATTTGTCTATTTTTAAAAAAAGTATGCATAATTTTCTATAATACACATTTTCCAGTAACTTTTTGAAGTACACTTGTAGAGGTCTT